CTTATCCAGCCACACCCACCTTTTGCTTCTTATTCTGTTTACCTTGTTTGTTGTCAAAACCCAGGGCTTTTTTGTAGCAGGAACTCCTTTGCATGTTAGGCCACACATCCCTAAAGTAGCCAGTCCTAATGAGTTTCTGCTGTTGGGCGTGCCCTATTATGCTTATGAGTTCCTGTTGGACGTGACCAACTCGGGAGCCAGCCGGAACTCCGTTCCTGTGTGTTCCTGCCCAAAAATAGCCCTGGCTTCTCTTATGTTCTTAAAGAACAGCTTGCCTACCACTTACTGACCCCTGCCTGGTATGTGCAGCTGCTAGGGAACAATTGGATGTATTCTCGGTCTCACTCTTGTCAGTACGGGACAATCGTGAGGCATGAAAGGCCCGAGATACTCCGCAGTAAACAGAGAGCATACCCCAAGGTACACTACACGGGCTCCGTGACAGACATTTAGAGACTCCTCAGCAGAAACAGCAATGTGGAAATGGTTCTTGCGAAGTAGGAACATGAGAAAACAACGGTGGGGTATGGCAATCACAGTGGTAAGAGCGGCCGTTTTCCATCACATAGCTAAGCCGGCCATGATCAACTTGTATACCATGGAAAAGGTCACAAAGTAACCAATTCCCCAAGATAATCCTCTGCAGGGTTGGGGAAGGGGTATGAAGTAGGCAATGGTGTGGAAGATTCGAGCCCCAAGGAAGATGTGGTAGTGCCACCATGCGGTGGAGTAGGAAACGCCACTGACGGAGTAGAAGAGCCCAATGACGGCAAAGGGAACGATGTTCTCCAGGTCATTCAGATGAATTCTGGGGAGGAAGCAAAGAAATTTCACAGTATTTGTTCACTTTCTTTTTTGGTCATTGCTCCCAATTAAAGCCACACACACCCCGCCCCCCCAAGACCCATCTTCGCTGAGTAGTGGCAAGCTACAATGCAACTTCCATCAAATTGTTGCTCCTTCCTTGAGCAAGGCGGTTAATGACAGGACGTTTTGAAGGTCATTAATTCATAGTATACCCCCTGAAGAGCATTAAGCTCTAGAGATAAGGACCTCCTGGAGAGAGCCAGTTTGGTGTCGTGGTTAAGTGTGCAGACTCTAATCTGGGAGAACCGGGTTTTATTCCCCACTCCTCCACTTGCACCTGCTGGATGACCTTGGGCAAGCCGTAGTTCTGTCAGAGCTGTCCTTGAAAGAGCAGTTCTTGAAAGGGCTGTCTCAGAGTGATGCTCTGTCTTCTTGGTGCTTGGGGGGGGTCAACAGTGGGAGGGATTCTAATATCCTGGCCCCACTGGTGGACCTCCTGATGGCAGCTGGTATTTTTGGCCACTGTGTGACAGAGTGTTGGACTGGATGGGTCCTTGGCCTGATCCAACATTGGCGTCTCTTATGTTCTTATGTCTCTGCCACAAGTTCACCTAATGTCCTGGCCCCACTGGTGGACCTCCTGATGGCCCCTGGTATTTTTGGCCACTGTGTGATACAGTGTTGGACTGGATGGACCTTTGGCCTGATCCAACATTATGTTCTTATCTCACAGGGTGTCTGTTGTGGGGAGGGGAAGGGGAAGGAGTTAGTAAGCCGCTCTAAGACTCTGAGTGAAGGGCGGGGTATAAATCCAATCTCCTCCTCCTCCTCTTAATCACTGTACCACACTGGCTGGATAGCAGATAGGTATGTATAATCTCTCAAGCCCCTTCAGCCAATACCCTATTTCTTGTCAATCAAGCCTAATTGTGATCAAAGTCCCCCAGATTACCTGCGTATCCGCTCCACGTCTGGATCACTCCGCAAATACTTTTTCGCTAACTCCTCTTTCCCATGCACTGACGCATCTTCAGGGTTTGCAAATGCCTATTTGAGAGAAGGGTACATGGGGGAGGGGGAGAAGCATCGATTCTTAGATTAAAAGTAGGCCTAGTGCTGACCGTAAAAACTCTCTCTGCTCCCACCCGCTCAATCCAGAGATCACAGACATACTGTGGGCCAACGCACTAAACTACAGAAGCAGAACAAGGAGTGGTTAGTGCTAATTCACGCAAATGTAGATTTATTTAGTAGGTTTTCCCTCGAGATCACAAAACAATTTAAAAGCGCACAGGATTACACGTCACAGTGAAACATCAACAAGACACAAAGCAACCAGAACATCAGGGAGTCCACTGACTTTACTAGAAGTCCTTCTGGAATAGGTTAAGTGTTTAAGGGATAACGGTAAAGGTTCCCTTGCTCGAAAGCCAGTCAAATCCGACTCTAGGGTTGCAGTGCTCATCTCCGTTTCAATGCCGAAGAGCCAGCGCTGTCCGAAGACGTTTCTGTGGTCATGTGGCCGGCATGACTAAACACCAAGGCGCATGGAACGCTGTGACCTTCCCACCGAAGTGGTACCTGTTTATCTACTTGCAACTTCTTGCTTTCGAACTGCTAGGTTGGCAGGAGCTGGGGCCAGAGACGGGAGCTCACTCCATCATGCGGCACCCGGAATCTCGAACTGTTTAACTACTGACCTTCCACAGCCTGCAGTTCAGCGTCTTAATCACTTGAGCTACCGCAGCTCCTATTTTATGGGATACCAGAAGGCATACAATGAAAGTGCTAAGTGTAGTTCCAGCATTCAGGAACAACACCCAGAAAGCGACTTCCTCCCCTCTAATGATTCCACAGCTTGGG